CTCCCCCACTGGATCTGACAGCACTGTGCCCTCCCCCACTGGATCTGACAGTGCAGTGCTTTCCCCCACTGGATCTGACAGCACTGTGCTCTCCCCAACTGGATCTGTCAGCACTGTGCTCTCCCCCACCGGATCTGACAGTGCAATACCCTTCCCCAACTGGATCTGACAGCACTGTGCTCTCCCCCACTGGATCTGTCAGCACAGTGCTCTCCCCCACTGGATCTGACAGCACTGTGCCCTCCCTCACTGGATCTGACAGCACTATGCTCTCCCCCACTGGATCTGACTGTGCAGTGCCCTCTCTCAGAGATAGCAAGAACTGCCAATGCTGGAGTCTGAGATAACACAGTGTGGAGCTGGAGGAACACAACAGCCCAGGCAGCATCAGAGGAGCAGGAAAGTTGACGTTTCGGGTCGGGACCCTTCTTCAGACCCTCTCCCACTGGATCTGACTGTGCGGTGCCTTCTCCGAACCAACCGCAACCCCCCACCCCACTGGATCTGAAAGTGCAGTGCCCTCTTGCATAAGAGAGACAGACAGACAGATAGACAGAGCAAGTGAGAGAGAGAGAGACAGTGTGGTGCCCTCTCCCATTGGTCTCCAAAGCAGTGATTACAGTGAGTGAGTTTCTTCCAAATGAACTAAAACCCTTTCCTCAAATACTTGGTTCACAGAAAACCATTCACATCAGCCACAAACTGTGCCAATGTGAAAGCCCTGCCTCTCTCTCTGTGTCTGTCCCCCTCTATGCCTGTCTGTCTAGGTCTCTCTCTCTCTCTCTCTGTCTCCCTGATGGTATTGTGTGAATACTGATTAGTATTTTGCTGAATAAGTGAATACATCATCACTGGAAATGATGGACCACATCATGTGAGAGTTGTGTGAATTGGCTTGGTTAGGCAGTGAAACCACAGCTTCCTGGAACGCTGCCATTTTCCCCCATTAAAGACCCCATTTACTGGTCAGTGTCACAATGTTAGTCCCTTTGTGTTGAGGATCAGTAACTGCCCACATATCTCATGCTTTGATCAATAGATACCAGACAGCTTCCAAACTCTCTCCCCAGCGGTTGCACAGATGATCCCATTCTTACCCATTTGCTAAGGCCTCTCAGAGGCAGCTTGGCTCAGTGGGAATACTGGGATTCAGGATGGATGATATTGAATGGCCTAAAAGCCTTCCTCATCCAAACAAACCTTGTGATTGCTTTCTGAACTGACAATGAGATGAAGGTAGTTAAGACTTGCAGTGATGTTTAGCTAATTTATGAATGAACATCACTTTAAGTCTGTGCTATCTTTCTGCTCACTATCTGCTGAAGGGTAGAATGTGGTAAGTACAGAAAGATGTGATGGTTGGACAAATCCTGATGGGCAAAACCATAATTTCATCTCAGTAATCACAACCTGATCCCAAATCTGATTTGTATCCCTTTGCAATTAACAGAGCTCTGGACAACCAGGAAAATATCACAATATCACCCACTTAACTCGAAAAACCCATATTAACCAGAGAATCTTAGCAGAAGACTTTTTATTAGAAAGAATTCCCCATTAACTGCAGCATTCCCTGTAAATCAGACAAAATCTTCTTTTAACCAGAGAATTTCTTATTAACCAGAGATATTCCTGTATTAACTAGAGGATTTCCTGTTAACCAGACAGTGTCTATGTTAAGTATGTGCTTGCTCAGGTGAGTTGGTGACCTCACAGTCTCAGCATGAGTTAGGGATCAGGGTGGGAAGGTCAAGATAGCAGAAAGTTTGGGGAAAAGGAGTTCTGGTTTGTTTCTATGTGAAAGATGGCTTGCTCAGAATAATACAGCAGGTTCTGCTGCTAAAATTGTCAAGTGTGACTGGTTAAAGAAGCTGCCTGGGTGTCACAACATTCCCTCTCTCGTCGCTATAGGAGAACCTCAACAAACTGATGACCAACTTGCGATCCACTCAGCCCCACTTTGTGCGATGCATCATTCCCAATGAAACCAAGACTCCAGGTACTTGCTCTGTTCACCCTGTTTCTAGATTGTTCTTTAAATGCTTTTCAGAGGGAACTGTGAGGGTTTCTTGCCCAGGGACTGGCCAATGGGACATTTTCCACCCCTTTACCTCTCTCTGACCATTCCTTGTGAACACATTGAATCATTCTCACTCCCCTCCCAGGCAGTCTCTTGCACCCGTGCAAGATCAGGGGAGTTTTTCCCAATGTCCTGAACAATACGCAGCCCTCAACCAACAAACTAAAAGAGAAATCCTTGCTGTTTGTGTGAGCTTGCTGTGCACATTACAATAACAACTGCACAATAACAGTTTTAAATGAAATGTCAAATGTTTTGTGACATAGAAATGAGGAGCGGTAGTAGACCATTCGCCTCTCTGAACCATTCATTATGATCATGACTGCTCACCCATCTCAGATGTCTGTTCCTGCTTTTCCCCTTTGATCCCTTTAGCTCTAAGCTACGTCCAACTCCTTCCTGAAAACATTAAATCTTTTGGCCTAGGCTGTTTTCTGTGATAGTAAATTCCACAGGCTCCCCACTCTCTCGGTGAAGATGTTTCTCCTCACCTAAGCAGAACCCTCAGACTGTGGCCCCTGGTTACATTGTGAATTTATGATGATGTTATATAAATACAGCCTTGGTCCGTGATGAGATCACTAATTGCTGAGACAACCATGGCTGTTGTGTGACCTTTCACCCCCGTCAGAGATTGAACCGTTCGCTGCTCACTCCTCTGGATGTGTCTTGTCCCAGTTCAAAGGGCAGCAGTCGAGGGGCTCCTGATAATGCAGACTGTGTTAATGGTGCGTGTATTTGATCTCCCTGGCCCTAATGTTATATACTTTCCAGGTGCAATCGACCCATTCTTGGTCCTTCACCAGCTGCGGTGTAACGGTGTCCTGGAAGGAATCCGAATTTGCCGGAAAGGCTTCCCGAACAGAGTACTTTATGCTGACTTCAAACAGCGGTAAGTACCACCTGCTATTCCTGCCTCTGGCTTACTTTGACACCTCAAATAGTGACAGTGAAATCCCATAGTCTTTGGGTTTCATTGTAGTAATAGCTAATGCAGAGCTAAGGAACAAACCAAAACAGAAATTGCTGGAGAAACTCAGCGTTGGAGAGAGAATCAATGTTAATGTTTCAAGTCCAGTGACATTTCTGCAGAACTGAGCAGGGACAAGAAATTGACACAAAATTCTTTGTAATCAGGGGATTGTGGTCGCTAAATGTCATTGGCTTAATCAATGTAAGAACTCTGGGAGATTCATTTACTGTATTACACTCCCTTTGGGAAAGCCCCAGGAAAACCTCATGCTCCAGTAGCCTAAATAGTTTTACTGTCCTTATTTTTCGGGATTTTGGTAACTGAATTTTAATTAATCAATTCAGGAGGTCATAACATCATTTTGGTGTGTCACACTCCACATTGGGAGGGCTCTACAAAAAACATGACTCATACACGCGCACACAGGCACACACTCTCTCTCTCACACACACACACACACACACACACACACTCTCAGACACTCACACATAAACACATTCACACACACAGACACTCTCACACACAGACACACATTGACACACACAGACAATCACACACACAGACACAGACACTCACACAGACAGACAGACA